CAAACTGATATCTTCTCCGAAATGAACACTTTTTACGCATTCCATAAAATACTCATCTGAATCGGAATAATTCCATTTGAAATCACCACTCAACAGATTTCAAATAAATGTGATCTCTGCAAATGACAAAATCACTTTTATGACCATTGATATTTTCTAAAGACTATTGTGGCAGTCATTAGCACGAATCAAGCAATTCCCAAGACAATCAAGTGTCACTGTTCATTTAGGGAATAATTCTGAGGTATTCACTGAAAGAATAGAGTGAATCGGTTAGAGAATGTAAATGAAGCATATTGTTTTGACTAAAGAGGAGTAAATACTTTGAAAGAAGTAGTTTTTTCAGTGGGAAACGTTACATTATTGTTTTTCTCGATTATTTTCGTGTTGTGCAATTAATTGAGTTCAATGACACATCGTTCAAACAAATGTCTCGTGTACTTTAATTTCGTTTGTTTTGATGATTAAGAAATGTGAAGGTTTTGCTGAGCAATCGCTTATTCAATTACAAAACAATTACTGTCTCATAACAGAAGGCAAGAATCACGAATAACTCCAACAAAATATTGCACGCACTCGGGAAATGCAATTAAATCGTTGGGTTGCTTGCACTTATACTTCAGCGAAGTTGATGAAGTTTGTAAAATTGCAATTTCTAATTCGGTTATATTTCGATCGAATAGCTTCACGAAAATTTTATATGGCACAATTGATTGGACTATCAGATGAGTAAGCTGGAGTGTTTTTAAGTGCTGGGTGATCCACGAATCAACGAGAATCCGGGTTTGTTGAGCTTTGGGCTGATTCTGTATCGATGGCACAACATTCAAGCTCAACGCATACAAGCCGCAAACCCCACATGGACCGATGAAGAAGTTTTTCAGGCTAGTGCTGCTCTTCAGCGATTGATCTAGCAACTGTTAATTGATCCCAATATTAATCTTCGGAAAAAACAATCTTAATGAGTGAATCTTGTCAAGAAAATAAGAATTTTTGGTGGATAGTTCACTGGAACGTGCTTATATCACATCAAGTTTGAGGAATAGGGCCAAAAATTTGCTACTGAGACTGAGACTGATTTTGCTGTTATGCTTGGCTGTAGTGGATAATCAAAATGTTTTGCTGGATTCAATTTCATTCATACTGATGGAAAACATCAGTTTCTTGTTTAGTCAACAAAATTTGATTTCAGGGTGCTCGTCGTTGGGTTATTGCAATTCTACAGAAGATAACCCTCTACGATTTTCTGCCGGCAATTCTGGCCGATGATAATGCCGTACCACCGTATACCAAATATCACCCACACGTTCCACCGGGCATATCGCACGCATTCGCAACGGCAGCATTCCGTTTTCCGCACTCTATTGTAAGTGACCAAATTAGCCCAAACGAATAGATAATCCTCTCGCATAGATCTTTGATCACTTTGATCAGTTCACCAAATCATAGTTTTCTTCTTCCACTCGAGTATTTCACGATCATCAGGCAATATTCCTAAACCTTTCAGTGAACATTTCATGTTGTAATCGGTGTTTTCCGGTAGCAAATAAATTTGGTGTTTGACACTGAACTTGATTTATTGACTTTTTGCATTACACTCATGAAATGTGAACTATTTCATCTATGCAGATGAATGATTTGAAAAACTTTTCTTTATGCGCGGCTGTCGTTATGTGAAATGATTAATTGATAACATTTTGGCAATCGCAAAAGTGAAGAAAGCAGTCTATCGAAAAAAGTGCATTCAAGTTATGATGTTGCTTGAACATTTTCAAGTATCAGATTCACTCTGAAAACATCACTAAACATCACATTAATTGCTTGCGGGCAAACGCAATTGCAGTCGAATTCGTAAGAAATCTGAAGCATTCGATACTTTTAGATTCCACCCGGTTTGTTGTTCCGTAAGCGCAACAATGGAACATGTGAATTTCGTACTGAAATCGGTGGCTATCCAGCGCTAAGACTATGTCAGAACTGGTGGAATGCGCAAGACATCGTGCAGGAATATTCGGTTGATGAGATCGTTCTGGGGATGGCATCGCAAATATCCGAACGTGAGGACAGCATTGTCGTTGAGGATCTTAGAGGTACGTATCGTTATGGCATGCATCGCTTTACACATGCCAAGTGATTGCATCAAAATATCAACTCATCATATCAACTCCATGTTTTGATTATTCGTTTTGAACTTAAACTTGATAT